GCTTAGGGTGTCTTGGTCTTTTTCCATTTTATTAAAAATTATAGGGTTATATTAGGTTATTTTTTTGTGTTGTGAAAAAGTTTTATAAGATTTTGATCCGTAGACACTCTTAGGTCTAATTTCTAAGCGATAAACTTTTGCATATGCATTTTAATGTCAAGCTTTTTGATACTCATGGTGTTTAAAGCAGTTCCTACATAAACACATAATATAACCCTTGTTTGTTGTAAGAGAAAGATACGACTTGGTGTTATACAATTTTGTTTGTTGATAAAAACACATAATATAACCCTCCGAAACAAAATTGCAACACATTACAAGTTATGTATGACTTAGAATAAATAATTATTTTGTTCGATCTAAAACTATATACGCATACTTTCCACATTAACTTTTGAGTTAGAATACAACGATGACATCAACACAAACCACTAATTTCTTGTTTTTGACCCAAAATAAAAAAAAAACACCATTAATTGTTTTTTCATGTAACCAAAATTTACCATTGTCAACACCATAATTTTTTCAGCTTTTTAAAATAATTTAAATTCTATAATAATTTTTATTATCTTACTAGCCAAACACTCTTTATGACTAATATCCTATTAACCAAACACTCTTCATAATACAATCTCTATAGCCAAACATAATTAATTTCATTAAAAATTTAAATCTGAAAATGTTAATTAAAATGTTATCTAATTAGCAAACACAATTACTTTTAAAATAATTATAATCTCAATTGTCAAACACATTAGAATATTTATAAACGTGCCTAAATTAGTTATTCAAATATTGTAATATTAATCCTTATCATTAAATTACTAAAAAATATTACTATTCTTATAATTACCCTAAATAAGATTCAATTTATATTTGTAATCTTCCATTTTATATATTTGAATCATAAACCGTATTTTGAAGATTATATTAAACAAATACATTTTATTAATAAGTGATATAAAATGACTAAAAAAATATTTGAAAAAAAAATCATGGGTGTAACACATTTCTATACAAAATAATTGTAAATTTTATATATAAAAAATAAATTTTAGATTTCTATTAGGATAGCACCTAAAACTATTTATGAAAAATTAATTAAATCCAAATTTGTATTTTAAAAACTACATTATCACTTTTATATTACGTTAAACATATAAAATTCAATTCACATTTGTGATCTTTTATTTTATATATTTGAGTCATAAACCGTATTTTTAAAGATTAAGATTAAGTAAATACATTTTATTAATAAGTTATATATATTGACGAAAAAACTAAAAAGTTGTTGTTTTCGTATATATATTTATATACAACATAATTACAAAATTTATATGTATAAATAAGTTATAGATTTCGTATAATAATTTTTCTAATAACTATATATTATTTTTTAACTAAAACTACACTGATTTTACTTGTATATTATATTATCCCGCGTATAATACGGATATCTATCTAGTAATGGTAATTCTAGCACCTTTTAAGTGTTGGCAAAACATAAAAATTTAAAATTAACTTGGTCAATAATCAGGTCAGTACGTGTGTGTGTGTCTTGACTTTTCCGTAAGAGACAAGAACGAAGAAGACCTTATCACCAAACAAACTCATAAAATCAAAAATCAAATCTTACGGTTTTACTTCAGACTCAATCCAACGGCTGAGATTCATCTCCAGCATCGCTAGGGTTCCTTCTAGGGAAAATATATATATATATTTCTTTTTTTTGTTTTTTTAGATATAAAAGAAAAACCGTAAAGCTTTCTCTTTTATCTTTCACAAATTTGTCATCGCCTAGAATCTCTCTCGTCCCCAATATTTTCTCTATCTCACTCGCCGTCGCAGGCTTCGCCGCCGGCAAGTTCTTTACCCTTTTTTTCCTTCTTCCCTCTCCTCTGATAAAAAAAACCCATAAAAAGTCAATCTTGAAAAAACCTAAAAGACCAAAATTTCGCTTAGCTTTTTGTTTCCCCTTCGGATTCGTTTTCTTTGTTTACCTTCTTCTTCCGATTCTAGGGTTTTCGATTTCGTTTCAGTCTAATAAACGAGAGGGGAGGGAAGAGTAATTGAAAAACCCCAAAAAAAGTCAAAAAAGAGTAAAAAAAAAACCCAAAAAAGAGAATGGCTCAGGTTCAACTTCAGGGTCAGTCTGCGAATGGCTCGAGTGCCGCTGTCACCTCTGCGCCGGCGCCGGCTACGGGAGCGACGGCGGCCCAGTTCGGCACGACGTCGCTTTACGTTGGGGATCTGGATTTCAATGTGACGGATTCGCAGATTTTCGATGCGTTTAGCCAAATGGGTCAAGTGGTCTCGGTTCGAGTTTGCAGAGATGTAGACACCCGCAGATCGCTCGGCTATGGATACGTTAACTTCGCCAATCCCCAAGATGGTTAGTTTGCTTCCTGAATTGGAGTTCTTTTTCAAATTTCCAGTTTTTTTAGAAAGTAAGAGGGTATTAGAGTTTGATCGATAGTTCTAATTCTTGATTTGACTGGGGTGTGTTGAGAAGTTTTGATCTTGTTCAGGTGTGTTTATATCTATATGCAATGTGGTGGATGCTGTTGCAGTGAAATTTATGCCCTGCTTAATCTTTCTCATGTGTGTATCTATCTTCTTGTAATGGTGGTTTATGTCCTGCTCTTTGTTGCAGCTGCAAGAGCAATTCAGGAACTGAATTACATACCTCTTTATGGAAAATCTATAAGGGTTATGTACTCTCATCGTGATCCTAGTGTTCGCCGAAGCGGTGCTGGGAACATCTTCATCAAGGTACTCTTGTCCTTCCTGTTGATGTTAGTCTCCCTGCGTTTTGTTTCGGACAAATACTGCTGTAATGCGAGATGATTGTCAGGAAAAAGATTGAGTCTTGGTTTATCACATTGAAAAGTCTGAAAAAGTAGTTGTTTTTCTTCAGTTGTGTATTTTGTTGGGTTCTCTTTCTCTCTGGTGTTAAATCTGGTTATTTATATGCAGAATTTGGACCTGTCCATCGACCACAAAGCACTACATGATACATTTTCAACGTTTGGGAACATTGTGTCGTGCAAGGTAGCTGTGGATTCTGCAGGCCAATCAAAAGGATATGGGTTTGTGCAGTATGCCAATGAAGAATCTGCTCAGAAAGCTATTGAGAAACTGAATGGTATGTTGCTAAACGATAAGCAAGTGTATGTGGGTCCTTTTCTGAGGAGACAAGAAAGAGACACGACTGCCAACACAACGAAATTCACCAATGTGTACGTGAAGAATCTTGCGGAAAGTACCACTGACGATGACTTGAAGAACACTTTTGGCGAGTATGGAAAGATAACAAGTGCTGTGGTGATGAAAGATGGAGAAGGAAAGTCCAAGGGCTTTGGGTTTGTTAACTTTGAGAACGCTGATGATGCTGCTAAGGCTGTCGAGTCTCTCAACGGTCACAAATTTGATGATAAGGAGTGGTATGTTGGTAGAGCCCAGAAGAAGTCCGAGAGGGAAACAGAACTAAGGGTCCGTTATGAACAGAATTTGAAGGAAGCTGCAGACAAGTTTCAAAGTTCAAACTTGTATGTGAAGAATTTGGATCCTAGCATTTCTGACGAGAAACTTAAAGAGATATTTTCTCCTTTTGGTACCGTTACATCTTGCAAGGTCTAATATCCTTCTCTCTTTTGATCTAGTGAATTGGCTCTTTTGATTCGCTATATAAGAAGTTCTTTCATTAAATATGACAGGTGATGCGGGATCCTACTGGAATAAGCAAAGGCTCGGGTTTTGTTGCTTTCTCAACTCCCGAAGAAGCAACAGAAGCTGTAAGTCAGTTATATTTTCTTGTTGAGTACATGTGTGAGGAAAGGCATTTCGATTGTTAGTAACAGTTGAGTACATTACAGATGTCACAGTTGAGTGGTAAAATGATCGAAAGCAAGCCACTCTATGTTGCTATTGCTCAGCGGAAGGAAGACAGAAGGGTCCGACTACAGGTTTGCTTCTCTGTGAATCAACTCATCTTGTGATATACCAACAATCAGACCCATCATACAGTATATAATTCTGAAAATGATCTGCTGTGTAAAATTTTCAACACCGATGCTGTTATAGGCTGTGAGGAGGAACATTTCTAAACAAATTTAACACGATTTAACTGTGATGAGAATATAATAATGACTTCAATTCGTACCAACTTCCATTGTACAAGTACAATTATGTATAAAGTAAAAGCATGTATGTAGCAGAAGAATTCCTAATCCGACTAATGATTAAAGTCCTAATAAATATATCATCACCCTTGTTGATCACCTCATGGTTTTGAGCTTTCCTCTTCTGGATTTGAAATTATTTTTCCTAAACATATCATTATCTTTCCATCTCCTGTTGCTGAGTGTCTACATGATGTGAACAGGCCCAGTTTTCCCAAGTGAGGCCAGTTGCAATGCAGCCTTCTGTTGGTCCTCGCATGCCAATTTTTCCTCCGGGTGGTCCTGGTATTGGGCAACAAATGTTCTATGGTCAGGCTCCTCCTAACATGATTCCTCCCCAGGTGATCATCATTTTAGCTTTTAACTTTTAGTAGCTGACTGCTATTTTGTAGAAAGATATTTGTCTAATAATGGTAATTCACTGGTAATTCACTTGGATATAATGAATTACAAGCTGTCAGCTGCTTTCAAGCCGCATGAGAAGTTCTAAAATCTCGTTGCGTTTAGCTCTATAGTTAGCTTTATTCATACTTGATCCTTTCCAGTTCTGTTTCGAAACTGTTAATATAATATTAACCTGTGATTATGCAATGCCACAGCCCGGGTTTGGCTACCAACAGCAGCTTGTTCCTGGAATGAGACCTGGTGGGGGCCCTGTACCCAATTACTTCATGCCTATGGTTCAGCAGCAGCAGCAGCGTTCCGGAGGAGGAAGACGCCCTGGGGGGATCCAACAGTCCCAGCAGCAAGTTCCCATGATGCAGCCACAACAGGTTCTTTTTCTGAGTTACAATTAAAAAAAGTTGCTTTGGCTTGCTCGTATTTCTTTGAATAGTTCATCATATGATTTTTCTCTGTTTGGTTGGTGATCAGATGCATCCAAGGGGTCGGATGATGCGGTATCCCCAAGGGCGTGGTAGTGGTGGTGATGTTCCTCCATATGACATGGGCAACAACAACATGCCTATTGGAGCTTTGGCTTCAAATCTGGCTCATGCTTCTCCAGAGCAGCAGAGGACGGTAAGAAGCTTCTCTCAAACTTGATGAGATTGTTTGTTTGGTTTCATGTTGTGAATTGTGAGAGTTTGGTGTGTGTGTACAGATGCTGGGTGAGAGTCTGTACCCGTTGGTGGAGCAGCTTGAAGCAGAGTCTGCAGCTAAAGTGACTGGGATGCTTTTGGAGATGGACCAGACCGAAGTTCTCCATCTCTTGGAATCACCTGAAGCTCTCAAGGCAAAAGTTGCAGAGGCTATGGATGTTCTCAGGAGCGTTGCTGCTGGTGGTGCAGCCGAGCAGCTCGCTTCCTTGAACCTCTCTTAACTTGTGTTTTTCTCTTCCGTTTGATCCTTTGGCTTTTGTTTTTCCAATACATTTGGAGTTGGTTTCCTCTCTTTTATACGTTTTTCTTCTCCCTTGGAATTTGGATTCCACATAACTTGCTTTTGTGTTGGTTTAAACACTTTCTTTTAAATCACAGAAAAAACGTTTATCTGTTTTTTAAGTCATCGTTGTATTATCTCAAGTTCTCAGCTCAGCAAGCATAAAGATTCGTTTGTA